AAGAAGAACCGTGAATTCTACCTGTGAACATAAGTTAACTTATTCACAATCCCTATAGAGTTACCTACTATCACTAACAGAGACAATAGTGCCCAACTTTTCCAATATGTCTAAATTAAACCAATTAATTTCACAGATACTTTTAAAGAGCTTAGAGCCTTGTTGTCCAACTCGGATTTGAACTGCCCACAGCATTTTCCAGAGCCTTGTCTGCAGCTTGGTGTTCCTGGGGAACTTCAATGAAGTCCACACTTGGTGTTAGGCAATGTATGTCCACAAAAGAGAGTGTCTGAACTGTTTTGTATAACGGGTAATTATTAGCGGTATCTAAGGGCTCCTGCTCAAACACTCCTGCCCACCATCCAACCCATTTTTTGAGCACTTCAGCCATAGCAAGCTAAGAAGCACCCAACCAGCTGTTTTCCAAAGAAACCTTCTGTATTGCCTGAGGCTGAAGACTTCTCTGGACAGAAGTGTGCCTAAGAGTTAGATGCTGTAACGTCACATGGCCTTGGAGAAATCAGCCTTTAAAACAAAGTTGTTCAAAGCATTTGCATATGAATTTGTGCATAATATATTACTTTAGAAAATCCATAAAACAGAACACTCTTGACTTTGGATTTTCAATCACTCAGAAAACCTCAAATTTAGAATAGTTCTCTTATTTATATATATGTGTGTTTGCTCATTTTCAAAATCAGTTTGTTTTCAAACTTGCAGCCCCTCCTCTGCCCCACGACCTTACAGCTTTCTCCTCAATTCCTTCCATGAGCGTCCCACCCACTACCTGCACTCTTCTCTCTTGGCAGCTGCCTTGTGACATTTTTCTCTTCCCTTCTTCAGCCAGACCTCATCACCTAGCTTCTTCCCTGAGCTGGCTTGTACAGATCACAGTCTGTTCCTCTCTCTTCCCCCACATCACCCTTTTTCCACTTCCTCTCTAGAGGAGAGAGCTGCTCTACTCTGAACCCCAGTGTCCCGTCATACCAGCTAACAATAGCTTAATACATAAATAAATAGATAACTAAAATAAAGACTCACCAATTTTAATGTTACAAGTAGCATCTAATACAGAAAGAAAGACAATACACTGAAGGTCCAAAAACTGCTGAAAAGCAAGAAGACACACCATCATTTTAAAGATCTTTGTTGTTTACCTAAGATGCATCCTTCACGGACTTGACTGGGCAAAAAAGGATTCAACATAAATGAGTAACTGCTAAACTGCATCTGATCTGCAGATCATATTGTCCTGCTGACAGATCATGCATGTGAAGTAGAAAAGCTGATACAGGACAGTGAAACCAGCAATGAACCTGAGAAAATTGAGAAGGCATAGCTGGAATATAAATGGACAAAAACAGCCTTTAAAAAGGAAAGGCAAAAGTAAAGGAAAGAAAACAAATAGGGGAACAGGTAAATGCTAAAATTAATACTATTCACACACACACACACACACACACACACAACCCCACCGGATGCTTCTTCCAAAATGTGTGCATGAGGATTTGAGTGTGCAGTTATTTATCATCACATTAGCAAGACCATGAAATAGAACAATGCCAACATAAATTACCAAAAGTACTAAAATGAATGTTTTATCTATGATAGGCTATATCCTCCTGCACAGGCATTTAAACCCTGAAACATACGTGGAGAGTCAGATTGAATCATCCTTCAGGGGACAAGCACTACATGTTTTCAGTACATTTCAATTATGTAACCTGTCCAGATCTTAAGGATTTATACTGGTTTTCTAATCATATACATCCTTAGAGTTGGACATGGATATAATTATTATGTTGGTGCAGTAGATAAATGTTGACAAAAACAAGCAGCCAAATTTGAAGCAATCCATTCATTGGCTTACCTACAGGTAAATTAACCTGGATTGTTTTCTTTCTTAATATCTGACAGACACTGATATCTGAAAGCTGTATTTTAGACCTGTTGATTAAATCTCCTACAAGTGAAAACTGTTGTTTAAATCTCCTACATGTGTTTACCTGAGTAGTTGCATCAAAGAGGCACAAAGAAGCTTGGATCTGATTCTGAATGTGTAATTTGTCCAGGAAAAATAAAAAAAAAAAAAATGGATTTTTAGAAAGTCTGGAGCTGCTCTAATGAAACGTAGAAAATGCTTACAGAAGTGGAGTGTAATCTGGTGAAAAGACAGATGAACTCAAGATAGTGAGGGAAAGACTGATCACAAAGCAGAACTGCAGAGAAGGGAGATGAAACACTAGAAGCAGATAAGTTTATCTAGTGAATGTACAGAGGAAGAAAGTGAAGAAGATAACAGATCTAGAGGCAAAGACAATGGGATGGTAGCTGAAGAGGAAGGTTGAAAGATGATTTTTTTTTCTCAGACATTCAATGACAATACTGTATTCTTCTAATGTTGGCAAGCTGATGGTGCAAAAGCAGTTACTGCAGGAGGCAGCAGACACCTTGTTAGTTTTGCAGTTAAAACAGCAGTCTGGTACACCTGAAACCTGCAATTTCGCTTCCTGGTTATGTTTGAAACTTCGGTTTTCTTGGGCCAGGCAATTACTTCTCTCTTCAGTTTCCTATTTATAAACTAGGGTGATAGCACTTCTTTTCTATTATCATCTCCTTGACTTGTTTGTCAGAATTAAGATGGGAACCATATCTCAATATTCATCAGCCTAGAGGCTAGCAGAGTAACCGGGTCCCAGCCGGGATTGTTACACAGGAGTGTCACAGTAACCACCGGTAAGTAAGGTACAGAGTATCAGGAAAGTCGAAGAAGCTGCCAAAAGCTTGATACCAGGCACTAGAAGTGATTACTTTAAATATATATATTTGGGTTCTTTTATTTCCCTTCTGATCCTATCAAGCGTACTGAAGGCACATTTCATTTTTTATTTATTCCCTTCAATCCTTCTTTTACTTCAAAAGAAAGTGGTTATTCTCACCCAAGAGCTTGGGCTTTCTGAATAACACCAGCTCTTATCAGACATCTGATAAAATTGTAAGAGCTGGAAACACTGAGAGTTCATTTTGTTTTAATAACCTCTCTTGCATGAATATTTACTTCTCATTTGAATAATTATCATCAATAAAAATTGAAACCTTGTATTAGTGGGGAGCGCGAACAGCTTTGGGATTAAAATGAGTGACATCCCTCAAAAATGAGGACTATGAGAGAGTTAAGTTTCTCACAAGTAGAGCTCTTTCTGCAACAGCATTCTGAGTCTGAAGTACTACAAGATGAAGAAAACAGAGGAGAGAAATTCTGCAAATGAGAAGCAGAACTGGAAACGGTTCATCTATGCTAGCAGTTTTATAGCTTTAACTATTAACAGTAGAATTAAAGTGATGGAGTTTCTAATATCATTAATGATTCTTTTAATCAGTGGGTTTAAATTATAGTTCTTGTTCATTTCATTTTCATTACTTGCTATTTGCCTGTGCAAACAAGATGCTGTTTTCAGCAATGGTTTGCTGAGAAGCATGTGAGGATATGCAGAATCGTGATCTATCACACACATGACATGTAAACAGCAGAAAAATATGAACAAAGAGGAAAGACAAGCATCCCCTGTGGAGCACTAAAGTTACAGAATGCCTAGAGATGAGGAACAGCTAATTTAGGAGAAAATGGGCTATAATTTGCAAAAAATGTCCAAGTTTGATTTATAATTTGTAGGTAAAATGTATGAACCCTGTATTTATCAAACTGAAATTCCATATAAAGCTAGCTGTTCTGGACTTTTATATATATATATGGAGATAACCACAAGCATTTATCAATCTTCATAACCTTACACTCAAAAAGACCTCCTGCTGGGTTTAGACATGGCCTGTTTCTCCCATATAAGCCATTAATTAAGCACCTGGAACAGAAATGTTGTCAGTGGTGAGGCCACGGCATCACCTGCTCAAAGGGGTGCAAAGCTGTCAAAGGAGGATCCCTCGGCCATTTTAGAGAACAGGACGCTGTGCCCAGATGCCAAACCACAAAAAATCTTAACGGTGGGGAAATTGTGGTGAGGAATGAGGCGCGCACATTTTATTGTGTTGCCTTGTGCTGTTTGCTGCATTGTTAAAAACAAAGAGTAATTGTGGGTTACTGCTCAAATACTCCATGCAATTACACTTGGACTCTGCCTGGAAAACTTCAGTTGTAGGAGCACTTGCCATCTTAGGAGTGCAACAAATCACACGTGATGTGCCTAAAAGTAGACCTGGTCCATGGGATTGTACCATGCAGCGGCTCTGGCTGCAGGGCTGTGGAACATACAGCTGGAGCAGAGGTACCTGGAAGGGTGTGGAGCACTGTGTGGGTAGTGTCTGGGGTTTCAGTGCTGATGGAGGAGCATCTGCTCTAATGAGGAGAAAAAGAAGCCAGATCAAGTCCTACATTATTTACACCTCTATGAACTAGGTAAGAGCACAGACCTGGGCCCAAAGTGGGCAGTGTGCCTGCACCATGTTTTGAGAATGTGGTTTTCTATCTCTTTGTCTTCCTGCTATATGTCTTACTTTATGCAGACAATGTGAGTGAGTACACAATTTGCAAGAGGTTTATTAAAGTCCCTGCTGCAGCACAGCCCCGATGCCTGTCCCATCATGAAGCAGTCCATGGCTATGCCTGGCTGTTCAGACCCTGGGACTGCAGCAGATCCCTGCTCTTATTTAGGAAAAGCACCAGACAGAGAGAGATGGTGCCTTCTCTGGGCGATGCATCTCGGACACTTATGCACAGCCCGAGGCCGTTGCCGCTGGCAGCGAGGAGCTGCACCGCCCTGCCGTGTTGTGACCTACGCTGTCCCTTGCGCACCGGCCCACCTCCCCAGGCACCACGGCCCGGGCCGGCCCGGCTCTGCTCTGCCAGGGAACACGGCCGTATGGAGGCGGCCGGGGCGCCGGCAGCGCTCAGCGGGCAGGCCCGCGGCAGGCCCCGGGCGCTGAAGCGCCTCTGCAGAGCCGGCTCCGGCAGAGCCGTGCTCAGGACGCTCCTGGGCGGCCCCGGCCGGTCGGTAAGAGCCGGCCGCAGGCCCCGCCTTTCCCCGCAGGCTCCTCGGCAGAAGGCCGGGGCGGACGCAGCCGCTCGTCGCCGCATGCCGCCGCGGCCCGCTGGAGCCATGGGCTCCCACCGCAGCGAGAGCGACTGGCAGGGGCTGGTGAGCGAGGTGAGGCGGGGTCCCGGCAGCCGCGGGCAGGGGTGCCATGCCTCCAGCGGCGCGGCCTGGGCACCGGCCTTTTCGGGGCTGCCAGGGGAGAGGCGAGGGCGGGCCCTACTCCTGATCCGCTCCTCGGGGAAACTCTAGTGGGGCGAGGGGCATAGCCATCGGGAGGGGTCCCCGGACTGGAGCCCACAGGGATCCCCACCCCAGCGGCTGGGCCGGCGGCAGGTGGAGCAGGAGGCGCCGTGGCGTTGAGCTGTAGGCTGGCAGGGCTGAGGTGTACCGCCACGTCTGCCTTGCGGCGCTGCCCGGCCACGAGCCGCCCTCAGGCTGCCGGGTCAGACCCCAGACGGCGGCAGGTACTGGGGGACAAGTATCTGCGAGCCTCTCGTGTGTATTAACTAGTGTGTGGCTGCCAGAAATCGCGATTAGGCTCCGAGCCTGCTGTTGGCTCGCAGTCGCCAGGGTCTCGCCTGTGGCGATGGGGTGAGAGGCCTCTGCCTGGCCCTGGTGCCAGCGGGGAGCGGGGTCCAGCAGCAGCGCGGCCCTGCTGCAGCCGGCAGTGAGGGTGACAGGTCTGGTCCCAAGAGTTCGCTCCTGCGGCATGTGCTTTGTTTTCTTACTTCATTTGAATCAGAAAATGAAAGGGGTTTGAGACCTATGGTGTCATTTGTACAATGTGAGAAAAATCCGTAATCGCAGTGGCCCTGAGCTTCAATAAGGGGAGGATTTTCAAAATATAGGAGTAGAAAATGATATTATCTACTGTGTCCACATTAAAAGATCAACAGTGTCTGCAGGTACACATTTTCATGTAGGACAAGTTACCTAACTCTAACAACTTGAAGTCAGTATAGTTTAAAGGGGTATCATCAAGTCTGTGATAGGCAAACTCATAAAGGTTGAAGTAGGTTGGCATGCCGATTTTTACGTTGCATTTTGTATTGCGTTAATTTTGCGTAAGTATAAAAATAGTATTTTTCTGTTTACAGCTAGCAAAACTTATGTGCAAATGGCATAAGCCTAAATGAACCAGACTGAGTCTACTGTCCTAGAGTTTGATGTTCACAGATGAATTCCTGTGGTTTCAGGAGAGCTTTGCCTCAGTTATGTCAGCATGGCTTAAGGTCCAGACCTGTCAAAAAGAAGTATGAATTTAGGGTCCTGAACCTGTCACTTGTCTAGGCAAATTCAGTGGGAATTTGTACAGGCCTAGATCTGTGCTAGAATGGGAGCCTACCTGTGCACACAGTGCTTACAAACACACAGACCAGTCCACAGTAAAATGAAAAGTGTACTTGTAGTATCCTGATTGTGCAGTGTTGCATCTGACATCTCATTTACCAAATGGAGTTTTATTTGGAGTGGTGTGGTGTCACATGGCAGGGAAAGGTAAGAGCCAGAGACAATTCATGAGGTGTGTTCAAAGGAAACGTCCCTATTCTTGGCTTTAAAAATGAATCTAGAATTAATTTGGAACTTTTTTACTTTTGATATGATTTAACCTAAAAAGTTAATCCTGAAATTGAGTACTTATTTCTGGTTTAGGGGCTTCTTGATAGTTGCGAAGTTTAATGACTCCACTAAGCTACATTATTGCAAATAGTTAAGCATACATATAATTCCTTTTTTTTTCCCCAGGAACAATTGGTGATTAGCATTTCATTTTTCCTTCCTTTCTTTCTGTTCCCACAGCAGGCTTACAGCCCATTTTTCTGCATGAAGTCTGTAGCATGTGCTGTAAGGGTATAGGCTTTCCTCTTTTGCCTTTCTCTTCCTTGGCTGTTGTGATTAACTTTGTGTGATTTACCCATTAACTGCAACATCCTAATGGGTCTGTGAGGAAGTGGCTCTAACTTCTGAAGTAACTTCTGATAAGTTTTTCCAGTTTCCTGTATCCTCAGTTGTACAGAGCTTCTCCAGGTCTCTTAGCTTCAGTGTCTGCCAAGATAATTAAAGCTTTGTTCAAAATGCATTTTGTAAACATTTCAAAGTGCTTTCAAAATATAACACAGGCAAGAAAATACATGGTAGCTCTAAACAAACACTCTTACATTGCTGATGCTGGACAGTTAAAACATAGAATGCAGTTCAGAATCTCCAGAAGCTGGTGAGATCAGATCTGTGGTCATGTTCTTTTTCATTTCCACAAGCTCAGTCCTCAAGTTTGAAATCTAGGAGTAATTGAAGTATTTGCTGAAGCAACTGTAATATTTTTTTCAAGTGTGATATTGCAGGTGTTAAGTGGTAGGGTGTATTTTTTGCCCTTATATACACACACAAACACTTGTACACACAGCTTTATATTTTTGTAGTTTGGCTTTTTATTCTTCATTGGATAAAAATAATGCTTGGGGTTTTTTTTGGCACGTACCATTCTTTTTCTGTGTTTACTCTTTTTTTTTTAAATTTTTTAAATTTTCTTTTGACTTTGTTCCATTTCAGTGCCTTCTACTCTGTGCCTGTTCATAGAATCATAGAATAGTTAGGGTTGGAAAGGACCTTAAGATCATCTAGTTCCAACCCCCCTGCCATGGGCACGGACCCCTCACACTAAACCATGCTACCCAAGGCTCTGTCCAACCTGGCCATGAACACCACCAGGGATGGAGCATTCACAACTTCCCTGGGCAACCCATTCCAGTGCCTCACCACCCTTACAGTAAAGAACTTCCTCTTTATATCCAATCTAAACTTCCCCTGTTTAAGTTTTGACCTGTTACCCCTTGTCCTGTCCCTAATGAAGCAGCCCTCCCCAGCATGCTTATAGGCCCCCTTCAGATACTGGAAGACTGCTACGAGGCCTCCATGCAGCCTTCTCTTCTCTAGGCTGAACAGTTCACATTTCTTTCTCTGCTTTAATTATGCTCATCACTAACTTCTTGCTTGTTCTTTTGCCTCCATGTTTATGTATTTTTCCACTTATTCTACATCCACATCCGTTTCAGGTCTAGTGTGTACCCAGAACTCTGAAGAATCTTTGCAGCATGTGTACTTGAACATTCTGTAAACCAAATGAACAGGATGATGTAGGAAGGAATACTGGGACAAAGCCTACTTAGCAAAAATTGAAGGAGATCAAAGAATCATTATTCCCATTGAATGCAAAAGAACAAACTTCAGGAGTGAGAATCCACATAAATTTTGCCCATTATTCAGCTGAGTTCAGATACTGGTGGTGGATGAATATATATAAAAGGTACTCTGTTGGACTACCACGTAATTTTTTGCTTGGGTTTTTATCTAAGATTTACCTCCCGTAATGACTCATGGTTAGGATATTTGAAAGCTGTGTAAAGCTATAGGATAAAGACCTGGTCAATAACTGCTTGTTTGACACAAGTAAAACTGAGCCATAGCAAGAACTTTCTTGCTGGCTAGACTGCAGTGAACTGTCTGTTTCCTTCAGAAACGCGTGATCATCATAAATCTCAAAATACGATCCAGATTACAGCCCATTCCTTTGAACAGGCCTTTGAATGTCTCTTATTTACAACAGCAACAAGAAAAAAAGATAAACCCTTGATGCAAACAAAATACCTCTCCCACCTGGAAGAGAATGAAAAGAGGAAAGTGTGACTGTTACTAGTTGATTTGCTGACTGCACTGCTAGAAAGCAATCACAGGAAGGTGCTTGTACTGTACTCTTTACTGAAGAGAATGGAATTCTTGAAAATAACATTGGTTGCCAAAATCTTGGTTGCAGAGTTTTGACTGGTTTTAAATGCTTTTAAATGTCCGTAGTTCTCAGCCTGACAGCTAAGCTGTGATTTACAAACTCATGTGAGTCACCTTCTTAGTGGCTCAGTTTTCCTGTCTTCGTAAGGGAAATGAAACATAACTAAATCCCATGAATACTAGTGGAAAGCACGATATATGAGCTTTGTTCGAGGAGAAGAATGTGATTTCAGTTTTTGCATGAATTCCATGTAATCTGTCCTGGAATCATATGATCTAAGGATGGTGACAGAATCAGTGCTGGAGAAAGGAGTAAGTGGTAGCATGATCTTAGGGTGATGCGTTGAGTTGAAAAATGTTGGGAGATCATGTGTGGTAGGGGAAAAATGCTTCTGTATAATCACAGAATGGTTTAGGTTGGAAGGGACCTTAAAGATCATCTAGTTCCAATCCTCCTGCCATGGGCAGGAGTACCCTCCTCTAGATCAGCTTGCTCAAAGCCCCATCCAGCCTGGCTTTGAGCACTTCCAGGGATGGGGCAGCCACAACTTCTCTGGGCAACTGGTTCTAGTGTCTCACTACCTGCATAGTAAAGAATTTTTTCCTAATGTCTAATATAAATCTCCCTTCTGTTACCTTAAAACCACTCCCCCTTGTCCTGTCACTACATGTCCTTGTATATATAATCTGCAAGACTACCTCTGTCGTTGCTTTAGAGAGCTCACTTCTACAAGTTTGGTCTTTCTGTTGAAGTCAGTGAGTGTGCTTCCATTCACTTCAGTGAGAGTTGGCACTAGTCCTAATTTAATACTGCTTGGAGAACATGCACTTTTGGCGGTGATTTCCACTGGAAGCAAGAAAGGTTTCCTAGGAAACCCATAAGACTAGAGTGGTTGTCCTCTGTCCGTTATGCTAGCTTCTCTCTCTCAGATTTGCCAACTTCTAGAATTAAATCCAATGTCAAAATGCTTCTTTTTCCTTGTCACCTCCCACACATTAGAATACTTACTGTATGCTATTTACAGCTACTCATACGTGACTCTGCCTCCTAAGAAAAGCTTGAGGAAATTCAGTCTCCATTTAATTTGTCATTCTCAAGAGGATATTTCTTTATTATTAACTATGTCTGGTCTTCAGCACGGCAGAGGGAATGAGCACGGCTGTGCTCTTGAGTTCCCTTGCCTAATAATTGCCAATTTAAAACTTGGAGAAAGGATTTTGGGGAATTATTTATCCAACACTCAACTGCTGAGCAGTAGTTGTAGTTGGAATAGGTGAGTGTTCCAAACGTGAATTCTGAGTGAGAAACCTAACCTGCTTGTAATTGGCAGAGCATGCCTTTCCTATAGGTTGCACAATTTTATGTGGACAAGAGAGAAGAGGAAAAACAAATAGTGAGATTTTCATGTTTGTAGTATCTCTCTAACATTCTGTCATGTTGCCTTTTCAAACAAAGAATGAAATATAATTCACCAAACCTATATGAGGGGACCTGACAGGCTTTGGAGCCACTAATTTCAGAGCTTTTCTAAATGCAGGCAAATGTCAGTGGCTGTAGGGAAGAACAAAGTAGACTGAATGCTCTAAGGCCCCTACGTGATTGTGTTGCATTGTAACACCTTTGTCGTTTGGAAAAGGAAGTGGAAACACTAAAAGAACTGGCGCTGCCCTCCAGTTCTCAGGAGCTGTGGGAGAGGGTCTGCAGAGACCTGCATGCTGGGCTTTCACACAAAACAAGTGTTTGCTTCTCATGTTTCCCTGTTGGACTAAGATACCCACAGGGTGTTGAGGAACAAACACAAATAAATTAATAATGTAATCCAGTGCACAGCGTACAAAACTGTAAAGGGTTGGGCCATATAGCAAAATATTGTTGTTTTGACTAATCAAATGATGGTAATTCCTAAATGACTAGTGAAGATAATGTGGTGTTCTGGGGAGCTGCTTATGTCACTTATATCATCAGTGAATGATGCCAGCCTGCTTTGTGCTTCAGAATCAGGAGGTAGCTAGTGAAGCCAATCCATGGGCAGCAGGAAAAGCAGAGCTGATATTGTGGGATAAACCCAAGGACACTGCATTGTCTCAGGCTTTATCAGAGATGAGGACATGAGATGAGATGACAGGCAAAAGGCCAGTAATTGTGTGTTTCTCTGGGTTTGAGTGCTTGATTCTTTCAGATAAATTGAAGTTTAATCTGAAGTCAAGGGGAGCAATATTACTGAAACACAGTCGAAAAACACCCCGAAGAGTAATGTTGCATGCATTTTGGGACTCTTCAGTTTGTCATTTCCACAACGCAGTTGCCTCCAAGAGTAGAGTGAGGAAAAATTTGATACAACTTCAGACAGTTCAACAGAAGTTGGATCTCTTGTTCAAAAGACGGTGAGTAGAATTCATGGTCTCTGTGAGACCATGGTGGATAATAGGTTTCCAGGCCTATGTACAATGTGGTGGCCCATTGGCATCTGGGAGGACACTAGGTCCTGGAGTATTGAGAGAATACAGTGGTTCCAAAGCATGGTTTTTACTTTTACCCTCAGAAAATTAGATATGTTCCTTCTAGTTGCTATTAAATACCCAGGATTAGGCCAGTAATTTGTACTAATTTAAGAGAAATTATTTTGTGATAGAAATTCAGTGTGTTTGTTGGTTAAAAAAAAAAACCAAGTCTAAAACTGTGACTGTCCCAGCTTCATCAGATTATTAGACCATGTCTACAGCGTCATTAATGAGATCTGTGCAGATTTGTCACTAAAAATAGCAATGGACAAATAGTAAGAGTTTGATGTAGAGGGTCACCTTGGAGCAGTTACACTCTCCTGTAATGTCAGTCTCTTTTTACTCAATTTCACTAAAGTATTCATCTGGCTGTAAAGAAGTTCAGGCAGTAATGTCGAATGTCACATATATTCCTTTAATTATCATGTTCTTCCTTGTAGCAATTATAATTTGCTTTATTGCAGATAACAGCAAGTTGGTAGATAAAAGTCACTAGACAGATATGAGACGTTGTACACTGTAGCTTTTATATTGAAAATATAGCAGCTGGTTCTTGGTTAACTTTGTTTTTTAAACTCAAAGATTATTTTGGAACATCAATTGAAAGGAAACAAGACAATAGGAATATTTTTTTAAGTAACTATAGTGCATAACAGTATTCACTTGCTTGTCTCGCTGACAGATAATACATGAGACATAGGCTTTCCCTCAGTTGCAGAGGAAGAAATTTCTATGTGACTGCCAGAAGCATCTATTGAATATTTTTTGTCAGATTGTGTGAGTTAATTTTCCTTATTGTGTGCATCGCTCCAAAAAGGCTGTTAAAGGCCTATGTACATTTTGACAGCATACCGATTTTGCTGCACTTACTTGTCCATATATGAGAAATTGTTGGTGGGACTCAAGCAGAATCCATTTCTGGTGAAACAGTTGTTAGGTCACCTCATGGACATTATTCATGCTTTTATGTATTTATTTATTTTAACATTCAGAAGCATATGTATTGAATAAACTCTTTGAAACCTGTCTTTGTAAAATTTGGTTTTCCTTCAAAAACGGTAATGGGAATTGGAACCATAGTTCTGTTGAATAATCAAATTCCACAGAAATGCTGTGGCTTTATTGTTTCTTGTACCCCAAGCCTGTGGAAACATTACATTATCACTATTTTTATCCCATTTATTTGGGGAAGTCAATATATGCTATAGGCAAAACGGCTTCAAAAAGTTTTCTAGGTGGTCATTTTTGTAGTAAAATCCAAACAGAACATTGATGAGAAATGCCAAGCCCGTTCCTTCTATATGGCACATCATCAGTTTATAATTGATCAAGTTAAAATATATGTTAAACAAGGAGGAGATCATTATTCCTTTTCATTTAGACCCTGAACACAACTGTCTGTTTATGGTTCATTATCCTCAACCTAACAGATAATGAAAAACTCCCTTGCTCTCACCTGTGCTGTGGTGAAAGGTGAAGCCTTCTTTTATGCTTTGAGTGTGTCCTTTGCGGAGGGCTGTGACTCATAGCAGAAGCAAGATTTGTTTAGCACTAGGTCTGCATTTCCTGCTTGCCAAATAGTATTTTTTATAGTCTTATCCACATGCTCCAGTTGGCTTCCATTTCTGTTGTGTGCTGTTTTGTATACCAGCACTCGTGGCAAGGCTCGGAGCTGGTGGTGTGGGTGTCCAAAGGTGAGATGTTTAGCTTTGCTCCCCTCCATTGTATAGTCTGTTCTGCTTCACGTAGGTGGTGGCTGGATGGGCCAGCTTCATTCTTCCTGGTGGTTAAAGGAACAGGACAGGCTACTTGATTCAGGGGGTTGAGCTGTTCTTTTCTGTTGTTGTTTGTAGGTTTTTGTAAGTGATTATGAGGTTTCTTTCTACTCCTTTTTATTTGCAATTACTGTATCAGATTGTTAGTATTTAAAAACAATTTTGTGAAGGCAAGATTTAGAATTGACTAAGACATGAGATGAAACTGGAAAAAGAGGAGAAGTTGTCAGAGGCAAATATTTAACTGTAGGAGAAGGAATTATTTTATCAAATTTGAAGCAGTTTATAGTGACACAATTCTGTGTCACTATAATCGCTTGCTGACAATATTAAAGTTTAGCATCTGATACCATTCAGTGCTTTATCAAGGGACTTGACATTTGTATAACGTATCAGTAAGGACATAAGTACATAGGTACAGTTGCCTTTGTTGATGCCAAGGCATCATAATCCAGAAAATTTATGGCATTTTCAACTTCAGTATTGCCAGAAATAAAATTAATCCAAGGTGGAAGTGTCCTTTTTGAGAGTTCAAATCCTTCTTGGAATGGCTTTTCTCATTCCCTTCCTGCTTTTTTTGCAACTAAGCATTTACCATTTTTGGAAAACCTTGGCTGTACTAATATACCAAACTCGCTTTTCCCTTTCTCATTGACTTGAAATTGCTGTTAACAAAGTCAGTCCCAAGCAAGTAGTACATACGAGTAACGATTTTTGTCCCAAAGAACAGCACTGCGTTGAACACTATGGAAGTGCTGATTCTCTTGCTTTGTGCAAGAGCCTATAATGACAAAGTATTCTTGTCAGAGAATATAATGGAACTATAAATTGTTTTCATGACTGCTGTAATATTTGGTCTCTTGCAGTGCACATTCAGAAAGTATTTAGCTCCATGTCTTATGTGAGTAACATCAGAAATAGAAATATATACTTTAGCATGAGGGTCAAGTGATGGGTAAGAAGAATCTGCTGATTGAACATCACGTTAAGTGAAAAAAAGTTGCCTGAAACTTCTGATAGGTAGCATTCAGCCACTGCAGGAAAGGATGATGTACATGTTACTCTCTCCTTCTCTCAGTGCAGAAAGGCAATGAAGCAGGTCAGACTACTGCAGAACAGCTAAGATTTGCAAGTTCAGCTTTGCTTGATGCATGAGCCCTGTGCATAAGAGGTGGTGGCTGGTGGGGGAGGCTCGCCTCTGCTTTCCCTCTCCATTCAGGTTTTTGAAATATTCCTGCATTATTTCCAATTCTTTTGACTCAACAAGCACATGCATATAGTATCACAGCTGAATAAGTTTCTTTTACCTGTGCCAATAGGGTACCACACTGTAACTGTTTCAGACTCAAGTTAAACTTTGGTTGTCACTTGCGCTACCCCTTTTGCTGTAACATGGTCCTGTTTCACTGCCCAGCTGGGAGTCTGAGCCCAGCGGACATCACTTGTAGCAGGGAGGAGAAGGAGGGAAGTGAGAAGGAGGAAATGCTCATTACTAACTAACATCTGGGTATTGTGTACACAACTAGGAAAGGGAGTTTGCAAAGGAATCATTCTTCTAGCGGCCTTCCCAGGACTACAGGTCAAATTGTGGAGTTTCATACATTCCTCATACTTACGAAAATAAAGAGGAGAAACTTGAATTGCTGATTTTTTTCTAACTCATGGTGGTTGGATGAGCAATCCTTACAAATGGATTTCAGTCTTCTGATACAACAGCTTCTGATACAACAAGTCCATGATTGTTATCAATAAGCTAAGATGACTTGTGGTAGACTTCGATCTCATGCAGAGGGACTTCCATCTTTTTGGACAAATATTTGAGCCTCTCAAATCCAGTACTGGCTGGAGTTGAAATAGCTTGTTACAATTACGTGGGTTTTTTTCTCTTCTGCAGTATCTGGTGTGCAAAAGGAAGCTTGAAAGCAAAAAGGAGGCGTTGCTAATCCTATCCAAGGAGTTGGATACCTGTCAACAAGAAAGAGACCAGTACAAGCTTATGGCCAACCAGTTGCGGGAAAGACATCAGTCTCTGAAAAAGAAGTATCGGGAGCTGATTGTAGGTTGTTCTTTATGAATACTGTATAACTGGGGGACATGGGTTAACCTCACAGAATTGGAAAGAAGTCCATAATGACTGCTGCAAAAATGTGAAGGTGCTTGTTTACAGTAGTCCTGCAGTTGTACAGTTGTGATCATATTATTACTCATTTGTTCCACACTGATGAGGTAGTGCCTGTTACATAAGACACAGAAAGACAGTGCGTGATCTGAGGAAATTAGTTTCAGTCATAATTCTATTTAAAAACTGACTGCAGTATTATTATTCCACAGCAACTTAATGTACCGTTATGAAAAATAATGCAACATAAATTTGTAATGACCTGCTGTTCTAGAAACATAAACAAATCTTCAGCCTTAGAGGGCTTTTTGTCTTGAAATTAATACTACTAGTATTAATCAAAATGCAGTATTTTAGAAATAATTTTAAACCTTTTAGTTTAATTATGTTTTAAAATTGAATCCAGAAAGTTAATATGGTTGCTGGCTTCAGAAATAAGTTGCCAATAAAATATGTCCATTTATTTGTAGGATGGAGATCCATCCCTTCCACCTGAGAAGAGGAAGCAGGTAGGATTTATTTTTCAGTTGATATTATTTATCTGCTACAGAATTACTTGGCAAAAGTGTGAAAATGTTAACTAAGAATTCTGGTGAAGATCAAGCATTTCTGTCTGAAGGCCTCAGTTTTTAAACTGTGGCTTCTTGTGCTTTTTGTCTAAACGTGTTTTATTGTGAAATATCTGAGCTATCATTAATTTAAATATATGGCTGTTGCTTTTATATTCACCTGAGACTGAAATTGGTCAGAATACAGCCACTTGAGATTGCTGCCCTCGTTGTTTATCCTGGTATTGAGTCCTAGAATGGGTTCATGACAGGACTTTTCATACTTAAAAGCTATCTGGGAATGCATTGTCTGCATTCCATAATTGTTAATTTATTGTTGTGAGTACTATTTTCCATTAGGTACTCCCTCAGGTCGGTTGTGCTCTATGAGTTATAAATGGTAAGAACAATGGTAATTGCATTTTATGCTTTCACTGAAAAACCTTTTTGCTGCTCACTTGTGGTTTTCTTTGTTCCCAGAGATCCAGGTAGTGTCCCCCTGTTGTGGAGTATTGGTTGTCACATCTTAAAATTATCTTCATTTCTAGAGAAAAATGGCACCCAAAACACAGTGTGTGAGCAGGAAGAGGGGAACAGCCCAAACCAACAAAAATTGTTACTGTAGTTGCTAGTCCTGAAAGTCTATTTAAAACACGGTCATTGCATTCTCTTATGGATCCGAAGTTTTACTCATCATCCTTTCTCTGGGAGTTTGCATGTTGTTCTTACTATTTTTAACATATTAGGGGCTTAGCATTTTTCTTGTTTTAAACTTAACTTTCAAAGGCAATATAATTACTCCTTCAGGCACTTAAACAAATGGCTGCCAAGAAGTTGGTGGCTCAGTGTAGAATCATTTAACTTCCTCATTATTTAGCATAATTTATTTGAAAGCCTGTTATTTCAACAACCAATAAAAATTTATGACCAGATATAAGTTTATGCATTCTGACTAATAAAAGTGGAGCTGTATACAATTAAAATGAAAAAAACCCCAACAATTGCAGTACATGGGTCATTACAGAAATAAGTAGGAAGGGAGATTTTCCATCCTATAGATGTTGTTCTAATTCATCGTCTGTCTTTCAAAACAAATAAATCTGACACTTGTTTCTGTAATGCTAGCAAAATTTAGTCTAAATTCAGCAGCTGTGGTTATATTAAGTTTTGGCAAATCTTACCATGGTAAGTGAGGCATCCCTGCCCATGGCAGGGGGATTGGAACTAGATGATCTTAAGGTCCTTTCCAACCCTAACCATTCTATGATACTATGATAAGTACTGGGAAACCCATTTAATGATCTAACTAGGAGGGAGGATTTTTGGTTTAGTTTAGTTTTGTTTTTTTTTTCCCTGAGGAAGTTATGTATTCATGCTACGTAACAGTGAAAGAAAGAAAATCTTTTTCTCAGATGGGGTCATTTATGGGTCTCCCCCGAGGACAATATATACTTTAGGCTGTTATTGCACTTCTTCAGTTTTCATTTTCCTGAGAAGTGTGTCTGTAGCATCAAGGTGGATAATCTGGCATAGTTAGGGCAACCTTTCTGAAGAAGAGTATAGTTTTGCTTTGAGAAATGCATCAAAGAATAATGAAATCAAGTTACTAATGTTTTCCCATTATTACTGTATGTATGTATCTTAGCATTTTATCACCTAAGAAAGAGTGAAGTTTTCTATGCTCCTCTGCATTTTTTTACAATTCCTTTTTGCCCGGAAGCCTTGTTGCCTGCTAGGAGAAATTTCTGACCTCAGTCACTTCATGAAAAGAGTGACCCTAATCCTGTAATGAATTCTGTGTGATGGAAAAAGGACATGCTGTTTTCACAGTCAGAAATGAGCTGAAAACATGGTGAACAATTTGCTGTTATCTTTCTTTACCAGAACTGAGAAATTATTGTTGAAATTGTAATCTAGAACCTTAGAGATAGTAGGTGGGTTTGAATTGCTACTTTCTTCTCTTTTATGTCTTCATTTTCCACCTGCATAATTATCAATTATGCTTTGTGACTTCTTAAAAGATCTTGTTTCCCACACCGTGCCTTCTCTCCCTGTTTTGCAACAGAGAATTTTCATATCCTGTATCAGCAAGCAGTTAACTCAGAACCTGGTTTTGCAAAACTGATGTTACTTACAGGTATCTCAACATGCACTGCTCTGCAGTGTTATCCCTCTCAAAGCTGTGTGTGCAGTGGTACCAATTTCTGACAAAATCCGTTTGGACTCGATGATTTTGAATGTCTTTTCCAACCTAAGCAGTTCTGTGATGATTCTATCCAAAGATTGCTCCACGTGTATCACCATCTGCCAACTGACTAGAACAGGAAATGAGAAACTGTGCTACCGACATCTCTTTTCCTGCAGTAGGTGTTTTACCATTAGTGTTGTTATCACAGCCTGTGAGCTGTCAGGTGCTTTCCTGGCCCCTCTTACCAAACATTGACAATTAAATGCTGCAGTTGAAGGTAGTTTTAGAATGTGTTGTGGGTGTCAGGTATAGGGTAATTTTTGGATAGGTGATGGAAGGGTGAAATATGTCAGGAGGATGGGAATAATGAAGAGCTGATTTTGACGTTAAAATTCACTGGGAGTGGTAAACAATAGACACTCCCCTTTCTGAGTTGCTCTGTCTAGAGAGCCTCTGTTGTGCATCCTATATAAACAGACATTTTACCGTTCTGCAATGGTGTGCATTTGTATGCATTTGCTGTGATACAGAATATTTTAATGACATTGGCAGACAGATAGTGGATATCTGTTGGACAGTGTTGACATGCTGGGAAACTTACAATCATAGGTGGGATTTCTAGCTTGATTTATACTATTATTTTCATCTACATTGCTTAAATTTTCAGTATACCTTCAGTTTGGGAGAACCTTTGTTGTTGAAATAACAGATGATTGATAAATCCTTTGGCCTTCTATATGAAATGGAAGTTCTTTTAATACAAATGAGATATTTTGAATAAACAGAAGTGAAGTAAAATGCATGCTTAGGAAAATGACCATGCTGGGCCACAGTCATAAATATGTTTTGCCTAATTTGATCTCAGTGAGACCATTCAGTTGAAGGTAATGGGTTTGCAGGGGGGCTGATTGTCAAAAATAAAGCCGCAATGCATATGTTAACTGGTGAAGGCTTATATTTGTATTTCAAATGTATGAGGAATTAAACTAAATGGAACTAAACATCACAAGATCACAGAATGGTTGAGGTGGGAAGGCAGCTGTTGAGATCAACTCATCCAATCCTTCTGTCCAAACTGTCCAACTGCTATGTTGTTTCTTTTCCCATCATCCCAGGCTCTTGGCTTGCCTACTCTATCCCAAGTCTCCTTGTTCCCTCCTCCTTATTTTCTAAAATAAATTTCTCCTTATGAAGTTGACTGGCCTATTGGCAAAGATACGTTAACCTCATGTAGTCAAATGGATCTTGTATCTTCCAAGCAGCTGTTGAGCCTTAGAGAGGGTCCCATGGTCATAGAACCCTCTTTGAGGGTCTTAATAATGAGCCTTAGAACATCATGATGATATAGTCCCAGTATAGAGCACAGCTTGATAGCTACTCTTTTAGCCAGGCAAAAAGTCTTACCAGAAAACTTGTGTTCATCTTTCCTGAAGATTGTGGTTCTTAACTGTTACAGTTCTCTGTAGGTGTCCCAGAGTGCTTCATTCAGATGAAGACTCTGACTGCTTCAGTGGTCATTAGCATCACACATTACACACTTAACCGAGATGCTGGTTGGAGAGCTTGACTACTTCTAGTAAGTTCATAAGTGTGGCATTTTGGGGCAAGCAAAATATGAGATGAACCAGAGGTTCCAGGCAGGAGAATGTTGTGACATACCGCAAATAAACACAGTTTGATCCTTTCACTTCCACTTCAAGCTTGTAGCTTAATGTACTCGACTATCACAACTCACTTGCGAAACAAACTCCAGGGATTACCTTATGACTGGTTTTGACGGCATCAGAAAAAATGGCTAGTGTGAGTATTTCTTGTTAATTAATAAATTTGGGAAGTTTTGCTAGTCTTGTGCTAAGGCACAAAAGCTGTATTCAGAGTCCTATGAGATAAAATCTGCAGATAAAATACACTGCAGGGTAAGCAATCATTTTGTGTTTATCTCACAAGAGCGCTGTGAAGATTAATGTGATTTCCTCCTGTCTTCAGAGGGTTTGAAGATGAAAAATATTATGCACGTGCCAAACTTAGACCTATGTGGTTTGCTCTGGTTTGTAGGTGCGTGTGTTTGACTCCCATAATATGAGGTAGCAGGTGGAAAACAGTGACATCATTTGCTCTTGGAGCACATCAGAAAGCAATATTCTCATGGACTTCAAGCTGTGCCTGCTCTGAGAGCATAGCTGATGAAGAGACGGGTTGCTGCACTGAAATTGGCTGTTCCATTGGTAGGAGCAGGTAGTATACAGAACTTAGCCCCTAAGAGTCATACTTTGAGAAGTGACACTTGTTTCTTCACCACATAGGTTCTGCAGTAAACATGAGGTTAGGAGAGCAGAAATGCTGATTCTACTAGATGTGATAGTCCCTCTTTAAATTTGGAGTGCTGTTCAGACCTGATGTGTACAACAACCTCTTCTGTGCTTGCTATGTCTTACCTTAATGGAATAGCAACACTTGTCCACACCTCTTCACCTAAACACTGTCGAAAAATACACTGTTAGTCACAACGCTGTAAATGTTTAAGGGATTTTGGTTGGTTTTGTGCATTATCTCAAATTTTTAAGTTGTTCTTAGGATCTCTAAGCAGCTAAAATATTTCTGATAAAACAAGCCAATGATACAGTCTTTTCTTCAACTGTAGTATAGTAGTCTTTGTATAAGTACAAATAAATAGTTTCTCTTTGACTGCGTTCTTCTGCTCTCAACAAAAACTTGATGCCTATAGGAAGTATGGGGGGACTGAAGTACTTTACTGAACATTCACAGGGAAGGA